ACGGGTATGATGCTACTCATACATGAAGTGATTGTGAGGGGTGTGTGTGTGTGTGTGTGTGTGTGTGTACTGCTCAGAGCACAGTGTTCCAGAAGTGTAGCCATTGACCTTGGAAGGTAAAATTGTTCTGAGCACGTGGGTGTGGTTTGCTTAGCACTAGTGAGGCTCTGGATAGAGCTGCACAAAAATAAACTTAAAACTGATAGAATTGTACCTACTAGAGCTCTGAATGGTCCCTGTTATCCTTCAGGACCAGTTACAGATGTGGATTCGAGGCAACGTGAGTGCCTGTGCTCGGTCCATCTTCATCTTTGATGAGATGGACAAGATGCATGCAGGCCTCATTGATGCCATCAAGCCTTTCCTAGACTATTATGATGTGGTAGATGAGGTCTCCTATCAGAAGGCCATCTTCATCTTCCTCAGGTGAGTCTGTGGCTGGGATGTGGTGGGAGACCCTTGAGCCTGGACCTGGGGGCTTTGAGGGAAAGGGCAGCCCTTCCTCACACTGCAGTTGTTTCTTCAGCAACGCTGGGGCAGAAAGGATCACAGATGTGGCTTTGGATTTCTGGAAAAGTGGGAAGCAGAGGGAAGAAATCAAGCTCAGAGACATGGAACATGCTCTGGCTGTGTCGGTCTTCAATAACAAGAATAGTAAGTATGGCCATCCTTCTTGAGTCTGACCTGTTAGTCCTACACCCTCAGTTCCGTCCAGCCTGGGAGCCATATTAACCGACCCTGACCCAGCCAAATCCCTGAATGAAATCTGTTAATGAGCCACAGGAGAGTTTATAAATACTGAAGTTAGGCTGCACCACTGATCAGTTGGTTGAGACAGGGTTTGCTCTACATTTCTTGGAGAGGATAAGCCAGTAGCTGACCTGGGAGAAGGGCTACTGTATGACTGCAGGGAAAGAGGTAACTAGGTTAGGACTCTTCCTTTGCAGTACCCTAGGCCTCTGCCCAGCCACCAGGCCTTCTGCTGTGCCACACACTCAGACATTTGCCCTGCTTGTCTGCTGTTACCTTGTAGAGTAGATAGATGCCTGTTGTCCCATTCTTTACAGAGGACACAGGCTCAGTGGCAGAGCCTGCGCAGCACCAGGCAGGCTGCAGCACCTCCATCCTGCACTCAGAGCTTGTAACTTTCAGCTCAGCTACTTCTCCAGCTACTGTCATGCAACCTTTGGCCTTGAACGTCATCGGGAGGCAGACAGCCATGAGGGTGACTCTGGTCATCTCACCAAGTCTTTGCTGTTTCAGGTTGTTGAGGTGACAAAACAAAAGGCCACAGGCCTCATTGGGAACATGCCCACCAAGAAATCTATCGAAGTTAGGTGACTAGTCAGTGTGTTGTGTTATTCCAGTACAAATGGAATACACCTGAGCAAAGTTAAACATTTTGTTACATGTCCAAGTCTCTCTTCATGCTAAAAAAGGATGACTGTACACAACAGGGAATACAGAGTGATGTGGCAACAACACATCAGAAGGCAGAGAGGACCTCCTGCAGGGCTGTCGATGGGATAAGAGATGGTCAGGCATCAGTAGTGCTGGAGTGGACAGTGAGAAGAGCAGTCTTTGGTAGAGGGTATATGTGTTTGAGGCACCCTGGCTGGGAGGAGACATTTGACTCAGGACACACACCTGAGTTGGCAGTGTATGGATGTTTTTACTAATATGTTGTTCAGATGAAAACCCAGGGCTTTATACATGCCAGACATAAGTGCCCTACCACTAAATTACACCCTAGCCCAGCTGCTGTTTTTTAAGGCCTGTGACCATCTGAAGTCCACTGGTTCTGCTGAGCACTTGGTGGGTCAGGTGGTTGGGTCCTCATCATTCAGGCTATGCTCGGGATCTCCTCCCCAGCCAGATATAATCCCCAGGGCTCCGTGTACACCCTGGCACAGAATAGTCCTGCAAGACTGCAGTCACCCTGATGGCTGCTCCATAGTCAGTTTTGTTCTTTGCTGTGGCCACAGGTCCTCACTGAGTACGATCAGAGTGCATGGCTCCATTGGGAACTGAGAACATAGACCCTGGGCTCTCTACACAGCTTGCATTGGGAGCCAGAACACAGAAATGAGAGTTAAGTAGGGCACAAAGACATGTCATGAGCTTTTGGGGCATCCGGCAGGTGCTGAGTCATGTGTTGGGACACCGAGACATGCAGAGCTAGGTTTCTGCATGGAAACACATGTCAGACTTCAGACCTTTGAGCTGCACAGCCTTGCCTACACACATTACCACCCAGGGGAGTCTAGGTGTTGCTTCCAGAATGCTTTGCATGGTTTGGGCACTGACAGCAGCAGTATATTCTTTAATTGCTGGTCTAGCTGCTGAAGTTCTGAGGACAGACTAGTTTCCTAGATGGAGACTGACTGGTGGAGTCTGTCTCTGGGGATAGTCTTCCCTTACCTCTTTTATGCACCTCTTCCAACTTGTTATCAGCTTCTCACATACTGCCTGGATCCCAGCACACAGTATGGTGCAATGTGGCCTTCTAAGGTATCCTGGAGAGACCTTTCCAAGCCCACAGTGCTAAAGTGTCCCTTTTAAAGGATTTTTTTTTTTTTTTTTTTTTTTTTTTTTGGTGTATGTGTGTATATATATGGCCAGAGAGGGTGTTGCACCCACTGGACCTAGAGCCTAGAGTTTCATGTGATTGTGAACAGCCTAGAGAGTACTTGGACCCAACTCAGGTCCTCTGCAAGGAGTAACAAGTGTTCTTAACTGCTGAGCCATCTCTCCAGCCCCAGGGTGTCCATCCCTTTACATCACCCTGCCCTTGCTGTCAGAGCAGCATCACAAGGCTGTTTGTAGGCAGTTCCCAGCTTGTCTCTCTCTCTCACTGTATGGAGGTGGGGGTGGAGGGAGGGAGGAGTGGTCTCCTGGCTCTATCTCAGAGGCTAGCCCCTAGTGAACACCTAGTAGTTATGCTGGATGGACAGATGAATATTGAGTTCTTTGGTTTTTTTCCCAGGTGGCTTCTGGCACAGCAGCCTCATTGACCGGAACCTCATTGATTATTTTGTCCCCTTCCTGCCCCTCGAGTATAAGCACCTGAAAATGTGTATCAGAGTTGAGATGCAGTCCCGTGGCTATGAAGCAGATGAGGACATTATAAGCAAGGTGGCTGAGGAGATGACATTCTTCCCCAAAGAGGAGAGAGTCTTTTCTGACAAGGGCTGCAAGACTGTGTTCACCAAGCTGGACTACTACCTGGACGACTGAGCCCTGCTGCACAAGCTGGCACTGCCAAGCCACTCCTCTCCCAGGAAGAGGCTCAGGACACTTCCTGCTGAGGTTACCGGGTTTTGCCTTGGGGACTGTTTTTGCTCCTCAGAGAAACCACAGACACAACACGGACCCAAAGCTTTCCAGAGCCTCCAGAGGATGAAACCTCCCAGCCTGCCCATTCCCAGGCTCATACTTTTTAAAAAATTATGTTTTAATTTCAGATGTTTCTGTTTTGAGGCAGAATAAGTAAGTTTTACTGCAAATGTGATAACTTTATTTTAAATGGTTTTTTAATATGAGAAACCTTTTAGCTGTTGGCTTTGTGTCTTTTGAAATTGTCAGGCTGACATTAGTAGTGTTTCCACTACAGAGGCCCAAGCACAGGCATCTGCTGCATGGATGGCATCTCCGGAACAAGGGACTAGCCCCAGGGAACTGAAGCCAGACGGGCCAGGGGCCATAATCACCATCACAAATGCACCCTCGAACTCTTCCCTATACTCAGTTGTATGGGAATAAGCTTAGTGGCACTGTGGTTGTCAAGTCCACACAGTACCTGCCAAGAGGTAGGGCTCCCGTGGGGTGTGGCTGCCATTCAGGGCACTTGCAGGGCTGGGTTTAGCAAGAAGAGGGCCTGAAGGTTCAACAAGTCAAGAACTAGGCCAACTGCTGGCAGAACCACCCTCTGCCACCAGCCTGTTCAGGGCTCCCAATGATGGTTTTAAGTCCCCAGGAGTCATCCCAGGTCTGACCACTCACCTAAAGATGGAGCCCAAGCACTGAGCCCTGAGGAGCACAGTCCTGTCTTTGTAGATGTGACAGAGTGGGTACAGTGAGCTCTTGTCTCAGGAAGGTAGAAAACTTTTGAAGGTATCCAACTTTGACCTCTCCACGTGTGTGCATATGATTGCCTACCCCTCACATGTACAAACACACCACACAGAAAAACCCAGAAAGCAAACATTGATTTTTGTGTGATTCAGTCAACATGGGCATCCAGGTGTAGAAAGGTAAGGGATACATGGGCAGTTCTAGAGCCTTCATTCTGAGCTTAGTTTGCTACCACACAAATGAGGGAAAACTTAGTAAAAGTGACACCTCACAGCGCACCACACTGCCTTCTCACAGGCCAGCCCAGGCCTTTCCAAGTCACAGGTCGGTAACAGCAGTCCAAAGGTGGCCAACACGCATCCATGTATTGCATCATTATAAACAGAAAAGCTTGTTTATTCTTGATCAATCAACAGGTTGTAAATGGAAACTTGGCTCCAACCCAAGAATATGGCATGGAACTCAGCCTCGCCTTGGAAGGCTTTTGTTTGCTTTCTGCTTTGAGACAGCATCTCTGTATGTAGCTTGGCCTATGCTGGCCTCAAAGTTGAGGCAGTCTTGCCATGGCCTCCCAGGTGCTGGGACTAAAGGTATATACCACCATACCCAGCTCATCTTGGCATTTTTAAAAGACTAAATGTGATTCTCTATAAGGCATCTTTAACATTGTAAAAATAGTCATTCTACCACATTCTATAAAAACACAACACAGTGTTCTCATGCCTGCAGCTGTAACTATGGGACAGAACAGTTCACAAGGCTTGAATCACTTACTTTCCTACAGTCAGAACAGCCACTCAAGGCATCACCCCGAGATTACAACTGGGACCCACAATAAATTGAAGACTGTGGGGTCTAAAATTGTGCCCATATAATTCCACTCTCTACACATTTAACAATAAACCTTTTTTTTTCCTTTAAAAAAGAGTTACATGCAGCTCAGGCTGACCTCAAACTCACAACATAGTGGAGGAACCCTGAGTCCTGATCTTCCTGCTAGGATCATGGGCTTTGTTTCCCATATCCAGCAACAATAAAAACCTGAGATTAGTCTATTTTATGTCCTTCCTAGGTTTTTGTTTTGGTTTTTGAAACAGGGGTTCTCTGTGTAGTCCTGGCTGTCCTGGAACTCACTCTGTAGACCAAGCTGGTCTGAAATTCAGAGATTCACCTGCCTCTGCCTCCGGAGTGCTGGATTAAAGTGTGCACCACCACCACCTGGTGCTTCCTAGGTTTTAAAACACATGGCATCCTTATACTTTTATCACCTAACAGAAGTAAAAAACATGTTTTAAAAATATACATGTCCTTAAAAACCCCAGCATCTCTGGTGTGTGGCCTAGCCAGCCCTGGCCTAGCGCTTACTCTTCCTATGCATGAGACTGGTGCTGAACAGCCTTCAGAGTAAGGGTAACAGACCTTCAAAGCTGATGGTTCCATTCTGACATGACCAGGGATGAGGCTGGGGTGAATCTTAACAGTTCAAGAGACATGGTCCAAGGCAGGCAACAATCCATACAGTGGGAGACAGGCGAGAGAACTCCAAAGGCAGGGCTGTGAGCAGCAGCTAAGGTGGAGTATAGCCTCAAAGGCTCTGTGTAACTGTGCTACAAGGGCCTCAGACGGGGTCCCTACTGTTCACACTAACAGTTCAGCCAAGGTCATGTCCACATGCTCCCCTCAGAGACCAGCATCTGCTTCTGCAAACTTCCAGCTGAGGTGGGTGTTCCTGGAAGGAAAAATCTGGTTCCCCAAAGTTGCAATGGTGCTATAGCCCATTAGTGGTATCTGAGGCATGGGTACCATTGGCACTGTGTTTCTAGGCACTTGATTCACATTAACACTCTAAGGGTTCTAAAAGTTTGCCTTCAGCCGCTGCCATGCAGCACTGACAGCATCCCCAGAGTCCACAGGTTCAAACGTAAAGCCCTAAGAGAGGTCTCCAAAGTGATTCGGCAAGGCAAGGCCCTGGAGGAGCAGAAGGCTCCCCTAAATCCTCCCACCCTATGGGGTGAAGAGCTCAATGGAAACTCAGCCGTGACTGCACAGTCTTGCAGCCCTTGTCTGAGTAGATCTTCTCAATCTTGGGGAAAAATGTCATTTCATCTGCCACGCTGGTGACAATGTTTTCATCAACAGCAATCCCACGAGCCTGCATCTCTGCCCGCACACACATCTTCACGTGTCTGTACTCCAAGGGCAGGAAAGGGATAAAGTAGTCGATGAGGTTTCTGTCTATCAGCCCACTGTGCCACAGACCACCTGCAGAACAAGAGAGTGGGTCTCCCATCACTGCCACTTGGCCACACCACAAAGCCCCTGTCCATACCCCTCCAGAGACTCTGTCAAGTGACATGCATTCATCATACCATAAGAAAACTCCCTATGACAGCAAAGCCACAAGCAAGAGTGATGCTAGCTTTGCAAGACACTGTTGAGAAGCAGCTCAATACCAGCCCAGCAATGAGTACCCCCACTCCATAATGGACTCACTGTGTTTGTTGTTGAAGACACCCACAGACAGCACAGGCTCCAGGTCCTTCAGCTGGATCTCTTCCCTCTTCTTTCCTGCCCGCCAGAAGTTTAGGGCCGTCTTAGTTATCAGGTCCCCGCCTGCATTACTGAGTTGGCCAGAGATGAAAAGACTGACATTACACTTCAGTTATCCCCATCTCCTTGCCAAATACATTCACCCATGGCTTCTTTCCATTTCAAATGCTAGAACCAACCCTGAAGTCCTGTGCATCTAAGCAAGTATCATCAAGAACTGTACACTCCCCCTTCCAGGTGTGCCCCACTTCTAGTGCCCCAGAGCTTTTGTTTGTGGGGACAGGATTTCTTTGTGTCACCTAGGCTATCCTGGAACTCACTGTGTAGACCAGGCTGGCCTTAAACTCACAGAGATCCACCTGCTTCAGCCTCCTGAATGCTGGGATTAAAGGCATGAGCTGTGCCACCATCACCCAGCTAGTGCTCCAAAGTTTTAATCCAGGACTATTTGCAACATGCTACCAGTCAAGGACAAAAACAAGTGTGTCTGTCTTCAAGAAATGCAAATGCTGTGTTTAAAGGGGCTGATAGGAGCAACAAATGCCTCACCGAGGAATCACTGTGGCTCATCCCTAACCCAGTTTCTATGCCAGTCTGACACTGGGAAGTAAAAAAATGACAAATGAACCTATGGCTTTCTTTGCCAAGCTGGTTGTTCTGTCCTGGATAGCTAGGAGAACTTCATTCTAGCACTTGTAGTCCCTGAGAAGCCTCCTTGGCTGACCTGAGGAAGATGAAGATGGCTTTGCGGTAGGAAATCCCATCCACCTGCTCATAGTAGTCTAGGAAGGGCTTGATTGCATCAATGATCCGGGGATGCAGCTTATCCATCTCATCAAAGATGAAGATGGAGCTGCCACAGGCGCTCACATTGCCTCGGATCCACTCCCGGAGCTGGTCCTAGACCAACCGTAAAGAAAGGCACAGCTCAGAGGTTGTTCCAGAGGATGAGGGGAAGAGCTCCCTGGGCTTTGAGGAGAGCAATCACCTGCATACTTGCCCCCACAAAACAGGTAGACACTTTCCAAACTTTGTCACAAGTAGAAAGGCACTAGCCACCAAAGCCTAGCCACCTGGGACCCACATGATGGAAGGAGAGAACAGACTTCTAAGAGCCATCTGCTGACCTACACTACATGCCCATGGTGTGCCTGTGCATGCGTCTGTAACCTCAGCCCTCCACAACAAAATGGGAAGTAGAGAATTGGGCAGAAGCTGTGTGGCCAGCTCACCCACAGCATATAGTACAGCAGCTTCAAACAAAAAAGGAAAGAGCCCTGGAGTTGCTTCTTTCCAGGTATTTTATCACAGCAACAGAAAAAGAAACCAAGACACTAGGCACACAGAGAAATGACAACTGGATTCAGACTTCACAATGCAGGAAAAGCACTGAGTTACATTGCTAGCCCCCTTGCTTTCTTGAAACACCCAAGCAACAGCCTCTCATCCCTGAAATGCCCCGGGTAGGCCACAACCCTTGCAAATACTGAAATTTGAGGATCTATATTAAAACTTGGAAAACATGAACATTACTTTGTAGTGGGGACTGTAGCCTGGTGGCCATAGCACTTCCTCGGCATGAGTAAGCCTTGGTTTCTATCTCCAGCACCTTAAAACTCTCCCTTCCCTTTGGCACTCCTCCCTGCCTTACTGTAAAGACAACAAAGACTCACTTTCACTTCCTTCTTCCCAGTCCCAGCACAGATAAGTAAGCAGTCATTTAAGTCAGGGTCAGCCAATGGAACGTGCAGAGCTCACCAGGAGAAAGTCTGGAGGATGGAGGAGCCAAGGGAAGCAAAACTGCTAAGAGGAAATTTGGCCTTTCGAGACACAGGGCAAAGCACAGGTAAAGAGTTATCGATGAGGCCATGCCCAAGCCAGCTATTAGACTGCCCCACCTAACACCCTATGCCCTGCCGAGAAAGCAAGTCACTTTCTGGGTTCCTAAGACATAGGCTAAGAGACAGATGGGAGTCGCTGAGTACAGGCTGTAAGAACAAGTCACCTTGCCTCTCTTGCCCATCTTTCCTCATTCCAGCTCCCTTTCTTTTCCCTCCCCCCAAAGTCCCAGGGATTGAACCTATGACCTGCCCCACACAAGCTGGGGCCTTTCTTTCTTTCTTTCTTCCTTTCTTTCTTTCAAGACAGAGTTTCTCTATGTTTAACCCTGGCTGTCCTAACTCACTCTGGCTTCAAATTCAGAAAGCCACCTACTTCTGCCTCCAGAGTGCTGGGACTAAAGACAAACACCACCACACCCAGCTGCTGGCTCTTTCTTTTGATGTTCATAGCATCCCCGGCCTCACTGGATTTATTTTGGAATAGCAGCTTTAAAAAGGAGAAGGCTGGACATAGGTGATGCACACCTATAATCCCAGCACTCAAGAAGGTAGGGCAGTCAGAAGTTCAAGGCCAGCCTCAGCTACATAGTGAATTTGGTGCCAACCTGGATTACATGAGACCCTATCTAAGACACACACACACACACACACCCCTCAAATCCCCCCAAGCCCCCCCCCACAAACACACATGCCATAAGGTGACCAAAGTGGTGGATGCCTGCTAATCTCAGTTCTCAGAGAGCTGGGGCAGTATAATCCCTAACATCAAGGCCAGCCTGAGCTACATAATAAGACCTTAACTCAAAAAGTATAAATAAATACAGGCAGGGAAGCCCATCCTTTAATCCCAGCACTCTGGAAACAGAGGCAGAGATATGTCTGTGAATTTGAGGCCTGCCAGACCTACAGAGTGAAATTGTCAACAAATAACAGAAAGCAAGAAGCAAAGCAGAGGCAAGGCGGAGAGAAGCAACAGCCACAGCTGCTGAGCAGGCGGCCCAGGCATGTGAACAGGTAGCAATGAGTTTTCTTGCCTGGTACAGTTTTATCTGCTGCTCATGAGGGAAGTGCAGCGTAGAGACGAACAGGTGAACAAATTTACTCTTCAGGCCTTTTGGGTTAAGGTTTTCTGCCACAATCTGGCTAACAAAATTCTTGCCCGTACCAGCCCAGCCGTGCAAGGACAGAGTCAGTGCTTTCTTGGGATTTTTATTGTTCCTGAAGCCGGTTACTGCCTTGAGAATCACTTCGCTGGCAAGATGCTGTCCAAACAGCTTCTTTTCCAAGTCCAGCTTGAGGGCTGCGGGGGGTGGGGTGGGGGGAGCAGCCCGGAACAGAAAGAAAAATGCAAGTTAAAAAAACACCTGAACCTGGCCAGAGAAAGACACAGCTTATCGACTGATCCAGCAGCAGGGTCTCTGCCAAGCTTCAGAGCCAGAACCTTAAGGATCTAGAGTCAGACCCTTAAGTGGCAGTTCTTAGCACTCAAGTGTCTGACAAGGAAGCTACGCGGATTCATTCATCCAGGGAAGAGCCATTCGCGGCTGAGCTCCGAGCTAGCTTTCCCGCCACCCCTGCTGGCTCGGACAGAACGGAAGAGCCAATGGCGGGCTTTCGGAATGAAGGTGCACGCCTGACACCCACCGAGGGGGCGCACAGCCGGCCCCGCTGCCTTCAGTTCAGTTCTCCGGGCGGTCATCGGCAGGTCGGCGAAGGTGTGCCGAGTTTGTCTCCCGCGGCGCCGCTTCGGGCTGAAGGTGGAACCCAACTCCCGGCGCCCTCCCGCCCGCCCCGAGCGGCCCGCGGGCACGTACCCGACGCGCTGAAGGGATGCTGCTCTTCGCAGCACTCGGTGAAGCGGCAGTGCACTTTGGAGTAGGACAGGAAGCCGGTGAGCGCCGACACGGCCCCGATGGCGATGGCCATGCTCACCGGCTCCACCGCCGCCGCGATGCGGGCGGCCAGCAGAGCCCACAGGACCGCGGAGCACCCCAACACCCTGCTCCGCCCCATCGCGCGCCGCCGACAGGAGTGTCGCCGCGCTCAGACTCAGTCCCGACTGTGCTGCAGACCTGCTTTCCATACGGAGCGTCATTTCCGCCTACCCAGAGAGCAGCCAGACCGGAAACGGGCGGGAGGATTGAGACGCCATCTTTGTGAGTAGCAAGAAACCCTCTGGGGACCTTCGAAGGAATCTCACGCCTGTCTGCATGCCTTTCTTTCCTTCTTTTCTTCCTTCCTTCCTTCCTTCCTTCCTTCCTTCCTTCCTTCCTTCCTTCCTTCCTTCCTCCCTTCTTTCTTCTTTCTCTTTCCTTCCTTTCTTTCTCTTTCGTTCTTTCTTTCTGAAACCCTGGTGAGACAGGGTTTCAGTGTGTAATAGTTCTGGCCATTCTGAAATGCACCCTGAAGACTAGGCTGGCCTTGAACTCAACTGAGATCCACCTGCTTCTGCTAGGATTAAAGGCAGGCGCCACCACTGCCTGGCTTTACGCCTGTCTTTAAGAGGTCTTATTTGTTTGTTTTCTATTTTTCTTTTTCCAAGTTAAAGTATGCCCAAATATATGGGCCACAGAGATGACTCGGTTGTTAAGAGCTCTTCCAGAGGACATGGGTTCAGTTCCCAGCACTCACATTCATGTTCAGCAATGGTCTGTAACTTCAGTTCCAAGGACTCGGTTCTGAGCACTACACACATGACACACAAACATACATGCAGGCAAAACACTCATAAAATAATTGAAAAATACATAAATAAAAAAGAAAATAAAGAACAATTGGCTTAGAGAGATGGCTAGATGGCTTAGTGGCTAAGAGTACTTACTGCTGGTGCTGGGAAGCCAGGCTGGGTCCCCAGCAAGCACATCTGTGGGCTCATAACTGCCTGTACCTCCAGACTTCCTCTTCTATCCTTTGTGTGCATGTATAAGGTGCATATACATAAACTCAGGCACAAAATTACTCATAAAATAATACATAAATGAATAAATAAAATCAATAATAATAATGTATCTGTAGTGAGTTTGTACATTCCAACCTAAGACAGGAAGGTTACAGGCCTGGGTGACCTCTCCAATGACGGGTAAGGAATTATGCTGACGTCCTCTGTCACCTAAGACAGGTGTTAGTTTATATTAAAAGAAAGGGGGACCTGTAGGACCCCAAGGCACCTTGAGCTAGCCTGAAGCTGTTGGTGGGAACTCCTTGCCCCAAGGCTTTTGTTGGTACTCTTCCCGTGACAACACATCTCGTGACACACACCCCGTGACAACCATACCTCGTGACAACACAGGGAGGAGCTAAGCCAAAAAATTCCTGTAATTTTCCACTGTGCTATAAGTGGGTATTTAAGCCCGTTCTTGCCCCTCAATAAATGGCATTCGGCATTTGGCGTTCCGACTTTGCCATTGAACGAATGACCCGCTGTCTTGTCTTTATTTCAATCTCTAGGCCTTCACCCGATTTGTGGAACAGATTGTAGCGCGGGCGCTACAGTACATGTGTGTATGTGTATGCATGTGTGTTGTATGAAATCAGAGGAGAATGTCAGGTTTCTTGCTTTACCCCATCGTATTCTTTTGTGACAGAACCTGTCAGTGAACCTAGAACCCAGGGCTAGGGTTGTGGTGAGGACACCCCAGCCACTTTTCTGCCTGGTGGGGGTGGGGTGTTACAGACCCCCCCATTGTTTATCACAAGTGCTGGGTATAGTCAGACTTTTTTTCTGGGACTAATGGTCCCCAATAATGACACAGAGACTTATTATTAATTATGGAAACTTGGCCAATAGCTCAGGCTTGTTTCTAACCAGCTCTTATAATTTAAAGTAATCCGTATCTTTTAATCTATGTTCTTTTATGTTGCTCAGTTATCTTTACTCTGCATTGCCCATGCTGCTTCCTCCTCGTCTCCTGGCATCTCCCTTCTTCTTTCCGGCATCCCCTCTGCCCAAAAATCCTACTTAGCTACTGGCCATTCAGCTTTTTATTAAACTAATCAGAGCAACACATCTTCACAGTGTATAAAAAGGTTACTTCACAACAGCTTGGAACTCCAACTCAGGTCATCTTACCTGCACAGCAAGAGTCTGAAGCCACCTCTATAGACCTTTCTTCTCCTTTCTCCTCCTTCTTCTCTTCTTCTGCAACCACTCTACCACTAAACTACACAGGAATTTCACAGGGCCTCTTGTTTGTTTGTTTGTTTTGAGACATAGTTTCTTTGTGTAGCCTTGGCTGTCCTGGAACTCCTTCTGTAGACTAGGTTGGCCTTGAACTCAGATCTGCCTGCCTCTGCCTTCCAAATTCTGGGATTAAAGGCGTGTGCCACCACTGACCCTATCATAAAGCCTTTTTAAGGGCCTCTCAGAACCCTAAACTTAGCATTGTCACACTGTCTCATTTCCCCTGGACTGTAATGAGCACTTCTTAGATCTGCCCACCCCTAGCCTTCCTAAACAGCTGCTGAGCCCTCTTGGTGCTAGGATATAGAGCACTTAGAGACACATGCTGGGCGTTCACAAGCAAATCCAGACATTCATTCATTCATGCAGCATTCCCCATG